ATTTTTACTCACCCAAGCGGGATCCAGTTCCATTCTAGTGACCCCTCCTCCCTCCTCCTACCAACCAGCCGTGAGTCAGCAGAAACCACGGAGTTCGTCCCACCTTCCTTTGCACGTTTGAGATCTTTCCCCTTGGCTCGTTCTTAGCTTTTCGTCTCTTCGTGCTGCGGTTTTGGTTTTTTCACACCCTTGCCCAAATCTCAGCCAATGAGACTCCATGAAAGATGTTGGAACTGTAGTTGTCCAGACCGTTTGTCGTGTCCCTAATGAACAGCAGAGTTTTCCACAAATAGCTGCAGTCTGACCACCCGAATGATTCACCACACGGCCAGAAGCCGAGGATTTGGCCGCTCCTAGTGGAGTGTACCAACGCCTACGCTTGCTCTGTGTGCTGGAATGTGCAGTTTTGCTAATTTTATCTGTGTTTTAAATTGTTTTCAGCATTGTTACCAAAAAAAACAACCCAGTGAAACTTGTTATTTTAGAAATATTGACTTGACTAACCACTTTCTGATGTTTCTATTTGTTCCAGGTCTCTAAAGTGAACGGGCTGACGCGGGCTGGCTCGGCACAAACATTCGGTGGCGCCAGAAAGAGCCACGACTTACGACTGCCGTCCAAAACTGTGAAGAAGTACACAGCCACCGTGTCCAAGGGCCACGTCACCTACACCAAAGCCAAACAGAGAGAACTGGGCAAAAAAACCAAACTCAGCAGCAGCAACAAACACAACACCGCCGCCTCGGCGCCATCGTCGGCGAACAATCACAATCAGCACAGCCAGCCAGCAGCCAGCAGTAGGCTGGCCAACTCAGGAAAAGCAGCGGCACCAGCCCACCACAGCAATGCAAAAACCCGCAAACAGGTGCTACTATCAAACGGGCTGCACAACGCGGCTGCTGGTGCCCGGCTCAACGGCAGGCTAAATGGACAGTGGCACAACGCCCTGGCCAAGGAGAACGGGCAGAAACAGTGCCAGCAAGGCCAGAGCGCGTGTCCGGGGCGAGAGGGGCTGCGAAACTCCAAACGTCGTCTGGAGGTGGTGCTTAACTCTGTCAGTGCAGGGCTTGTGGAGCAGAAAGCCAAAACTAGTGGTGCTGAGGCCAAGAAGGCCAAGATTCAGTCCGCCCCTTTGGAGACGCGTAGCAGCAGCAAGAAGATGGCCAACGAGGAGAAAGCTAGCAAACAAAACGCCACCGCCACCACTCTGGTTTCTAACAGGCTTGTGACGGAAATAGCCGCCTCTCCCAAACAAACACAGCCTGTTACTTCCTCCTCTACGCCCCCGCCTCAACAAACCACACCTCCTTCTACACCAGCAGCCAACCTGGAGCCCGTGAACCAGCGACCTAAGCGTGCGTCAGCTGGCAAACTCATGTTGATACGACAAGCACAGCAGCAGCAGAGCAGGTCACATGGTCGGAGCTCCTCCTCTTCCTCACCTTCATTAGGCCACAATAGTTCACCAAACCCCAGTGGAGCCAGCACTACCTCAGACCCTCAACAAACCTCTGTGTCCTCTTCCTCCATCACCGCCGCCTCCTCCGCTTCCTCCGCTTCCTCTTCCTGCTCCGCCTCTTCTCCTCTTCCCTCCACCAACAGCCCCGGACAAGTCAAACCAGCAGCGCTGCGGCTTGCCGACCGCGACACGGAGTGGGAGCGCGAGAAGGAGCTGACGCGCCAGAAGGAGCGGGAGCAGGAGAAGGAGTGGGATCGCCAGCGGAGCAAGCCAGAAGGGTGGGCGGCGCTGGGCGAAGCCCCCGTCTTCCGGCCAGCTCCAAGGGAGTTTCAGGACCCTCTGGTGTACTTGGATGCAGCGAGGGAACAGGCGGAGGTGGCCGGCATGTGTCGGGTGGTGCCACCGCAGGACTGGCGGCCAGAGTGCAAACTGAACGAGGAGATGCGTTTTGTCACGCAGGTGCAGAGGGTCCACATGCTGGGCCGACGCTGGGGCCCCAACGTGCAGCGGCTGGCTTGCATCCGCAAGCACCTTAAATCTCAGGGCATTACCATGGATGAGCCGCCTGTCATCGGTAAGCGAGCCGAAACACCTCTGTGATTTTTACTCAAAGCCTCGGCAAACACAGCTACCTCCGAAAAACAATCCCCCAGCTTCCTCCCGCAGAAAACAGGAGCTATTGATTTTACAGGAAGGGAATTAAAGTCTGTTCTAAATTGTTACTCGGCTCAGAGGAAGCTGTCGTCAAAGATTTAAGGGTTATACGCTAGATGAAGTTGCTGAAAGCAGCAGTTAGTAGTTTATTAAAGGAGTCTGTAAAGCATCTAAATGTTACAAAAATGACATCAGCAGCCCTCGCTGTCGGCCTCCTCTGGAGTTTATGTCCCCGTTTATAGAAGACGGTAAAAATGTGCAACAATCCTGAAAGAGCGGTCACCAAAAGAGTCCTTATCTGTGGAGTTCTCTGTTATGTTTTATGAATGGAAGCAGCTCCAGTAGGATGCTAGACTCGGAACCACAGCGGCGAGCCAGCTGCTCCGTGTCCAAACCACTTCCTGTAGTGTCCCCAGCACATCCGCTTGTGTCTTGGTGGCTGCAGAGGTGATTCAGACAGCTAGATGAAATGCTCCGGTCTGATTGGAGGATCTAATCCTTTAACGATCACCTGCTTTTGTTTGGCGTCAGCATCGCTTAAAGGCTCCTGGCTCTGTGTTGGAATATTAACACAATCCCAGTCATTTAGACATTTTCTGCTCAACCGGTCGTCTTTTCGGCCACTTCTACAGTAAAACACGAGGATCAGTAAAATAAAAGATGCTGAGACCCCAAAATGCCCTATAGGTTATAAATTGTAAGTCACTTTGGATAAAAGCGTCTGCTAAATGAATAAACAACAATAAACAACAATAAACAAAAGATGCTGAGACGTTCGATCAGTTCTGTGTGGAGCAGCATTTTCTGAGAGTAAGTCTGGATTTCTGTTAAACCTAAGGATGCACTAGTTGTGGGACAGGACGCTGGATGGGTGACTGATGATGTCATAAAATAAAATAAAGCGGCTCTGTCAAACAACGGCTGTTCAAATGTTAGAAATGTTAGATTTTAATTTTTATTATAAAAAATTTTAATACCTCTTTTCAATTTTCAATTTTTCAATTTTTAATATTTTATTCAATAATTTTATATTCAATTTCATTTAAATGTTTTGAATTTATTTGATTTTTTTTATTAAAACATTTAACCCTTTGATGCATAATGGTCACTACAGTGGACAGGTACTCAAAATTGTTATTTATTTTTACTATTAAGCACTGCTGCTGAAGACTTTATTGCATGTAAGCCCCTCCATTTGGACTTCAGTAAGGCAAGCCAACATATTTCATGTTCAGAATGCACGCTGTCCACTGAGGTGGACATGTAATAAATTATTTGTAAATTAAATGTTACAAAAAATATGTAAATATGAAATTTGTTTCATTCACAACTAAAGATGAATGAAAAAAATTGTTTAAAAAATCATGGTTGAAGATTTCATAATTCATGCATCGAAGGGTTAAAATTTTGACCTTTTAGCTTGAATCAAACCTGTTTTTGTTCCGTCTGCTTCCTGCAGGCGGCTGTGAAGTGGACCTGTCACGATTTTTCCAGCGCATCAACGACATGGGCGGCATGCAGCAGGTGATGGACCTGAAGAAGTGGACCAAGCTCGCTGACCTTCTGCGCATCCCAAAGTCTGCGCAGGACCGGCTGGCCAAGCTGCAGGAGGCGTACCTCCAGTACATCCTCTCCTACGACTCGCTCAGCGCTGATGAGCGCCTCCGACTCCTGAGCGAGGTGCTGCAGGAGAAAAAGAACCTGGAGTCGCGCCAGGGCCCCCTGGAAGGTCTTTTGGATTCTGCGGTTTCTAGCGGGCTCTTGCTGCCACGCTATGAGCCCAAGAACGGGCTGGTGGGCAGTATCGTGGGAAGCACGACAGGAAACCATCGCACCAACGGCGTCTATCACCGTCTGAAGGAGCTGGAGGCTCAGGTCAAAGCGGGCCGGCGTCGGCTCTTCGCTCAGGAAAAACAAGGCAAAGAGGACAGGCAGCACGGAGAGGAGCAGGCGAAGGAGGACGGGGGCGTTCCCGGTGACCAGTACAAATGTATTTACAAGGTAAGGACATAAACACACTACATGTTTACTCCACAAAGCAAAAAGACACGTAAGTGGAACGCCGCCCCCCGCACCAAACTGTTCGTCCTTCCGTGTGATCTGATTCTTGAGTGCTGATAACTTCTCTTGTCATTTAAAGGTTTTCCATCAGCAGTAGCTGTTCAGCATGGAAGCATCTAAGATCTGCTTCCTTGTTGCCAGATTCTTACGATTTTGGTTGCACTTTAGAAAAACGCTCACCGCGTCTCAAAAAGCCGATTGAGGAAAAATGTAAACGCGTCTTAAAACCCTGGACTTGATTTTTGAGTATTGGAAACAGCGGAAGTTGGGGAGCCAAGCATTGATTGGCCCTTCCACTTGACCTCTGGGTCAGATCGTTTTTTTGGCAACGCGTCCCTGTTCCCTCGAGCCGCATCACGCTGAACTTGTAGCACTTTACTAAAACTGTTTTTCCTCTAAGAGAACGTTCCGTAAATCTCTTCACCTTCTACTACATGAGAGAGGAGCAGCCCAACAGCTGCAAATCTCTGAAGTGTTCACCTGAGGTTTGGTTTTCGTATGGAATCGTGTCTCCACTGTTGACCCATCTCACTTGTCTTTTGTATGATTTAAAGGAAAGAATCCCGTGATTCTTTTACAGACTTTCCAGCTTATGTAATAAAATGATGGAATAATTGATCCGCGACTTTCTCTCGCCTTTTTGATCGCTACGGGAATACAGTAATCCCTCGTTTATCGCGGTAGATGCGTTCCAGACCTGGCCGCGATAGGTGAAAATCCGCGAAGTAGGGACTCCCAGCATGCCCCTCGCGGGGATTCCCTCCACGTCGCACCTACGTCACAAACCGCGGCTATAAACGGAAGTCGCCTTTCCAGCTCACCACTCAGTCATCGTTTCTTCAGATTCATGATCAACCTACCGATCAATCCAACGAACTATCAGCTCATAGTAAGTTATCTTACTTACTTCTGGAAAGCCCGGCATTTCCGTGTCACTTCGTTGACGCTCGAACGCCCGGAGGTTTCCTAGATCAGCCGGCGTTTCACCGACGCTCTCACTTCCGCGTCTGTGAAACCACGCTCCCTATTGAATTATCGTATGATCACATTCTCTTTTTGTGGGTAAAACTCAAGAAAAAAAATTTTTTTTTACTTGTTTTTTTTTAGTTTTATTACAAAAAGTGCATTTTATGATGAAATTGATGAAAAAAAAACAAGAATTTCTTGATATTTCGCATAGAAAAATACCGCGAATCAGTGAAAAATACCGCGAACCTGCGAATTCCCCCTGAAAAATGCTCCAAAGAAAAAATCTGCGAATCCGCGATGAACGAACCGCGAAGTAGCGAGGGATTACTGTAACTCCGTAGCTCAGAGAAGAAGCTACCCCCACCCCTCCTCTAATCCAGCACTCCCACTCTCACGGTTGTCTCCGTGCTCCCAGGTCTCCTCCCTAAAATCACGTTCACACCTGAACAAATGTGTGCAGATACCTCTGCCCAAGACCGTTCTGTTTGATAACTAAATCTCTGCTCGTGACCTCCTTTTGCAGGACGGAGGTCTAGTCCCGACCCGGTACGGTCAGTAGAGCTCGGCTTGTCAGAACAACTGACCGTTTTCTGCTCGGCTCACGTTTGTGTGTTTTCATCACGAGAGGCCCCCAGGAGGAGGTTAGGTTTCACTTTCTCCACCAGGAGAACAAAGTTCACGTCAGAGGCCGTAATTACCTCTGATTACTCTCGGAAAGGCCTCGTTCGGTGGGAAAAAAAGAGGGAATTGCCAGGTTTCTATGCAGTGTATTTAACTGCCGTAGTGGTGAAGTTGCTGTTTAAGGGGGGAGCTGGAGCCTTAACTAACATGTCTACATGCATAACACTGTAAGAGTAGAAATTCTTTATTCATTATGTCTTTATTTTTTCATGGTTGAGCCCCATAACCGTTCTAGTTTTTGTTCTGACAGGTCGCCACTCCCGGTGTTTAACTAGATTTGTGTTGCAGGGGAAATCGGTGTCCCTGACCAACTTCTTCAGGATAGCCCGCAACACCATGACCATGTGCTTTAACAAGGAGCCGGTAGCTGCGGAGGTCGAGGTTCGTCCCGTCCGCTCGGACACGCCAAACATGATCAGGCAAACGTTTAACCTTTTCCTCCCGCTGCAGCAAGAGTACTGGAGGGTCGTGGAGCAGAGGGACACCCACGTGGCGGTTCACTGTGGAAAAGTGGACACCAGTACACACGGAAGCGGATTCCCCACTGGAAAATCAGAGCCATTCTCTAAGTAAGTGTCTCCTTTTTAACGTGGCAGACGTTATACCTGCCAAGTCCAACGTTTTCTTCTTTTGTCAGACACGGATGGAACCTCGCTGTCCTCCCTAATAACTCTGGATCCATACTGAGACATCTGGGTGCTGTGCCTGGTAAGAACCTCAGCCGAGTTCCTCAGATTTTTACATCTGATGTTTTCATTTGAATTCCTCCCGTTCCTGTAGGGGTGACCATTCCCTGGCTAAACATTGGCATGGTCTTTTCTACCTCATGCTGGTCTCGAGACCAAAATCGCCTTCCATATATTGATTACTTACACACTGGTGCTGATTGCATTTGGTAAGTCTGCACAGAGCTTTGGCAGCTGAGGGCCCTGCTGTGTTCTAACGCCACGCTCCTCCTCTCTCAGGTATTCTGTCCCTGCTGAGGAGAAGGCCAAGCTGGACAAGGTGGTCCATACACTGCTTCAAGCCAACGGCACCCCAGGACTAGAAATGCTGGAGAGGAACATTATGGTGCGTGTTTTCCTCCTCGCTGTTCCGTAAACAGAAGCGTGGTGCTCAGTACAGGGTATCCGCAGGTCCTTAAAAAGTCTTAAATTAGCTTTTCCTAATTTAAGGCCTTAAAAGTCCTTAAAAATGACAAATAATCCTTAAATCCAGTTTCCAGAGGTCTTAAATTACCAAAGACCCAATAAACAAGATTCTTTTATTTCTATAAAAATTTCATGAATTTCTAGTTAGTGTTCAGCATTTTTTGTGTATGACGCTGGCGTAAGTGGAATCGTACACATTCAGCTGGTTGTGAAAGGGGGCTATTTTTCTAGATAAGCACATTAGCTGGTTAAGCTAGTGGGAGCTTGCGCCATGGGGAAGGGCAACTTTAATGGTAACTGGATGGCTAATCCCACATTCACGACGTGGTTAGCACCGGTTCCAGGCAATAGCTGGAAATTATCGCTTAAATTTAATTTTTAAAATAGCTTAAATTTGGTCAAAGTGGCCTTAAAAAAGGTCTTAAAAAGTCTTAAATTTGGCTCCCTTAAATCTGCAGATACCCTGTCAGTAACGCTGATCCTTCCTCCTCCTCCTCCCAGATTTCTCCAGAAGTGCTTTGCCGCGAAGGCATCAAGGTCTACCGCACGGTGCAGCGGAGCGGCCAGTTCGTGGTCTGCTTCCCCGGTGCCTTCGTCTCTAAAGTGTGTTGTGGCTACAGCGTGTCGGAGACGGTGCACTTCGCTACGCCGCACTGGATGAACCTGGGTTACCAGGCAGCTAAGGTCAGTTCAGGAGTCCGAGGAAGACCGATACTGGGAAACTCATACTTTAAAGCAGAAATGTGCTCATTTTCTCAGACGGCACCATCTAGAGGTGGAAAAGATGTAAAGCGACGCCTCTCGCTAGTGAACACCTTGTTTTCCAGTAATCATTTTCACGTTATGCTATTTAAGATTTATATGTCCAAGAAATGTCGCTGTCTCGTTACATCAGTGATAAACAGCTGGATGTAAGCAGATGTCGACCGCTATTGGTTAGTGGGGCTCTGCGGAACGGAGGGGGGCGTAGCAAATGATATCCCAGTACAGGATAAGACAGACTTCTAAATAAATTATACACAATTCTAGTCTGACCACAAACCATCGTCACGGCTCACTCAGGGGCGGGATCTACAGTTGTCTATCAAACTGGCCCTGCACGCTATTGGACAGTGCTAGGACTAGGGATGGGTACCGAATTCTGTACTTTTTAAGGTACCGACCGAGCACCGATTCACATCATTTGAAACGGTGCCTCGTTTCGGTACCCGTCCTTCACAACGAGAACTTGCCTAGAAAGCTGCGCATGCGCAAGAGCGTTACGTCGTCGGTCGCTGCGAGCCAGTTGTAAACAGAGCAGCATGGTAGAAAGAACGCACGCTAAAGCTTGGGTCCACTTCACTAAATGTGATGGGTAACTGGGTGATGATGAAACCAGCGACAACGATCTAAGTGAGACATCCTCATTTTAATCTGCTCCGGTAAGTAAATAAAATGTTTAAGATAACATTAGCTTGATTTGTTAGCTTCCGTTTCACTAATGGTGCTTTCGCTTTCTCCTCGGAACTCCGAAATTCCGACTAGAAGAACATGAACGCGCTCTAAAGTTTGGCTTCACTTTACTAAATGTGACGAGTGATTGGGTGAAGATGAAACCAGTGACAACAATCTAAGTGTGAGGCATCATCGTTTTAATCTGCTCCAGCAGCTAAATAAACTGTTTAAGATAACATTAGCTTGATAAATTAGCTTCCATTGCCACCATTGTTATCATCTAATGGTGCGTTCGCTTTCTCCTCGGAAATTCTAACTTCCCAGTAGGAAAAATCAAATGAAAAAGGACGGCAAAAGGAATGAAGATACACAGTAAATTTAGTTCACAGTAAAGATGTTTGCTTCAGTTTAATTATCAGCTTATAAAACTACAAGGACGATGTTAAAATACAAACAGTTGTATGTTATTTATCGTGATATTTATCAAATATGGTTATATATTGAGAAAAGTATATATTTAATTATAAAAGAGAATTAAAATATTAAACACTCAAAAGTATCAAAAATTGGTACCGTTAAGTACCGGTATCGATTCAGTGGCTGGTTTTGAGTTCTAGGCCAACACAATTCCTGAAAAGGGGCTAAACTCTGGATTGCTGCTTTAAAGAGAGAATTCTCCCCAATCTGATATTTTAGATCTTTGTGATGATGCACACACATTTACAACCACTGAACCAAGCACTGCTCACTAATGTCATCTGTAATTCATCCAATAAGTATGTTTTATGTGAAACATTTCTCCTCTAACATATTTTTAGTTATAGAAGACAAATAGAAGTTCTGCCTGCTTTCAGGTTTCATACGTTTTTGCCTTTCGCCACACTTAAATGTTTCAGACCAGACTTAAAACACAAAACTGTTTTCTTCTTGAGGGGCAAACCAGGCTGGCTTTGGGGAAAAAATGTGAATCAACTTAACCAAATTAATTTGGAAAGCTGGTTTCTCTTGCAGTCACCACGCTCAGACCTGTAGGACTAAGAAAGCACTTCAATGAAACCAGGTTTACATTAAGTAGCTAAAATACGTCACACCCTGTTCTACAGAAGTTCAGGACTCACTGGGTTATGGTCGGAGGCAAAGGTGCCGCTGTCTGGAGGGTGTGCATCCTCTTCCACGTGGAACAACAGTCAGGCAGGGAGGTGGAGGTGTGATGGTCGGGGGATGCTTTGCTGCATCTGGACCACTTACTGTAACTGATGGAATTATGAATCCGGCTCTCTAGCTGAAAATTCTGACGAATATTCAACCTTTGACCCCCGTTACCAGTTATAAATGTTCAATAGTAGGTCTTTTTGAGGACAGCAGTAGCTCAGGAGGTAGAGCAGGTTTTCCAGTAATCAGAAGGTTGCAGGTTCGATCCCAGCTGACCAGAGAATGCTGCTGTTGTGTCCTTGGGCAAGACATTTAACCCGCCTTGCCTGCTGCTGGTGGTGGTCGTAGGGACCGGTGGCGCCTGTGTTCGGCACCGGCAGGCCTCGTCTCTGTCAGGGTGCCCAGGGCAGCTGTGGCTACGTCGTAGCTCATCCCCACCAGCGTGTGAATGGATGGATGACTGATTGTGTTGTGAAGCACCTTGGGGCGGTTGTAGAACCCTAAGAAGGCACTACACAAATACAGACCATCGACGGCGTTAAAACCAGAAGGTTTAGGGCTTTACCTTCCCACATGAAGGTTGGATCGCTTTAAAATGATCAGTTTCCTCAAGATTATCTGTGTTTGCTGTCCATTATTTTGTGTGGACTAATGTTTTATTCCTCCAGGACCTGAAATGTCGTTGTATAGCCAAACCCTTCTCCATGGAGAAGTTACTGTATCAGATCGCTACAGCTGAGTCCAAGAGAGACAACGGCCTGCTCCTCACCACCATCTCCTCACTCCTCAAAGACCTCAGGCACGACGCTACAAACACAAACTCACAGCCGTAGTCGTTAAAGGATATCCAGACTCCATTAACACTCATCCTTCTCCTCGTGCAGGAACATAGAGTTGCACCAACGTCAGGAACTTTATAAGGCAGGTTTGCTCTCCTCCGCCCGCTACGGCACACATGATGGCAACCTCGGGCCCGGCGAGGGGCGCAAGAAGCCCCGCGGGAAGTGGCTAGCGCTGGAGACCTTAGAGAGACGCTGCCAGATCTGTCAGCATCTCTGCTACCTGTCCATGGTGAGACTCTAAAAGCTTTAGGTCACATTTAAATGATTGCCTGTTGTTTATTATTGTTGTTCGGTGTGCAGGTGGTCCAGGAGACGGATAACGTGGTCTTCTGTCTAGAATGTGCCCTTCGTTACGTGGAGAAGCACAAGTCCTGCCGGGGCCTGAAGATGATGTACCGATATGATGAGGTAATTCACTTAAAGCCCACCAGAGGGCGACATTCACTCAGAAAAGGGCACAAATGCATGTTTTGTTTTTTCCTTTTTGTAACTGATATAGCTCAGATTTGTTTCTCAACTATTTTAGTCTATTTTAATAATTTCTCAAATGTTTTTTTGTGTTTTAAGCTAAAAAACAATCAGCCATAAAATCAGTTTTCATTTAGGAGCAGATCACAAGTTTGGTGAACCAGGTGTGTGGTCGGGCCTTGTTGAAGAACGGAGCTGCTGGAGGAGGAGGAGGAGTCATTGTTGGAGGAGCTGTGACGGGAGGAGTCGACTCCTGCCTCACCCTGAACTCCTCCAAAGCCTCACCAGCCAAGCGCGGGCCTAGAAAACGCGCCACGGTGGAGGTGTCCTTGGCACGCCTGTCCTCCATCCACATGCCCAAGGCGGCAGCTGTGTCCTGAGGGTGGAGCCAAGGAACCGTAACCACACCTCCTCTTTTCTATTCTTTATTCCACATCACCACCATTGAAACACACACACCTCCTCACCTGGGTTTAGTCTCAAACACTCGCCTCTCCTTTAGCGACAGCTTGTTTTAGAGAAAAAGGAAAATGAGAACAAGATGTCTTTTTTGCACTAGTGTGAAAGAAGAGTTTGTTTTGATTCTGTTTATTTTTAGCCTCGTTGGATCCGCATCATGAGCATTAACGTTCGATGACGACTCGATGGCCCAGATTCTACCTTTCACCCCACCCACCCACCCACCCTCACCCATCCATCCAGAACTGGTTACACTTACCTTTTTCTTGCATCACTCCTTTCTCAATCAACTGTGAACTTGGGACGAATAATTTTTTAAAAGTGTTCTCCCAGTTTTTCCCAAAGTTTCTCCCTGTCCTGGATTTAAGGAAGAGTTATTTTATAAGTTTTGATGCTTTTTAGTTTTATTTTAAGAGGGGAGGTTGGTGATGCAAGGGTAAAAACTTGAAAGACGATGTCGGTTGGCTTCATTTTTGTTCTATTTTGGATTTTAGCTTTTTTTTGTGTGTGTGTGTATTTTATTTTCCGAGTGTCGGTGGATGTGAGGACCCGTGCTACGGTCGCCTCACTTCCTTTGTGCTGAGAGGGGATCTCTTTGCTAGCAAGTGAAAATCGGTGCCTGATACTTAGCAGAGGTCCGTTTTATTGGTGCTGTTGGTTATGATTACTGTAAAACACAAAAAGTTAAACCCTGGGGGGGCGTGGCCCCCTCAGCCTACCGGACAGAGAAGCTTTCAGGCTTTTCTGGTTCTAGATGTGCAATCGTGTTAACATTCCAGTCCTCCCGTTTCATCTGTACCAGTAAACATTTTTTCTTACTTTCTGTTGATCAGACGTGTTATCGAGTAGAGCCACTAGTTACGAGTGCAAAATGTGAAATATCAATTTAAATTTTTTCCCCCCACTTTGTGTTTATCTCCCTTTACCAGATATATGGAGTCATTTTTAGAAAGATGGAAGTTAAAGTCCAACACAAACATTGAGTTTTTGTACATAAATCCTGTAAATTTCTTTAAATACTCGAGCCTTTTCGGGGTTTGGAGTGAGTGAGGAAGCAGAAGGAACGGAGAAGTTTTCCAGAGACGTGCGCTCGATGAAGAAAAAGCCTTACATTTCCCTTTCTTCATCTTCTCTGTTTGAGTTTGACACTTACAGGGTTGCTCTGGTAAATGTGTATAAAAATTTTAAGTGCTGCTTATATCACTAAGAAAGAAGATATGGAGTAGCCCCTCCCCCGACCCCCACCTTCACCTCTCTGCCCCGCCCCCTTTTCCAACCTAGTTTTGTTTGGTTAGCTTTACTTTTTTAAAGAAAAGGGAAAAAAAACATGTTGAGGAAAAAATGGGTTTTTACATTTTCATTACTGAAAATTCAACAAATATGTAGTAGCTACTCATGTTGCACTGAGCTTGCCAGTTGTGACTGTCAAGGAAAAATCTTATAATCCAGTTTGTTGTTGGTTGTCCCGCGCAGAAGACTGAACCGTTTTAGGACAATTTAATGAAATACCAAGGTGTTTTCAACATTAAAAAAGTGGTTGTCAAGTTTTTATGGCCTTACGACATTTAATTCTTATGGGATTTTTGTTTTCTTCCCTTTTATTGTTGTTTATTGCTTAGTTCTCCTGTTTGTTTTTCTCCCATTTTTCTACAATATAAAACTACTTGCTCACAACGGGATATCTCTGGTGAATTTAATTTATTAAAGCCGTGCTCCGGCCTTTCCTTTCATTCGGAAAGAGTTTCATGTTCGTTATATTTGCAGTTTTTTACGTTTGCAGTTTGTACTTGAGGTTTAATAAAAACTTAAGACAATTCACTGTCACTTCTTTCCAACCGGCTTTGTGGTTTGTTTGTTTGTGTCGACTTTTGATTCACTCATATGTGCACGTTGGAGCACTGTTGGTTAATCGGTATTCCATGTTTTTACACTAAAAGCCTAATTAACATGCTTTGTCCACTTCCCTAAATGCCGAGGCTTAGATGAAACATTAGGATTTAAAGGAGTCATTACAAGGTTTTAGAGAAAAAAATGGTTGATACAAAACATGTTTAAGTTCTTTGCATGAAACCCTCTCAGCCACGGGAATATTTCACATTTTCAGTACCTTCCAGAATGACGATTTAAAAAAATTTATCAGGCCACACCCACCCACCCAATTGGCTGCTGTGATATTCGAGACGTGATTTCATGCCAATTTTCCTTTTTGTGACATTAAAAACGAGTTTTTATTCCGTTTTACTGGGCCTTTCTACCAGACGCGTAGTGTCGCGGTATATAGTACACGAAAGTTCACCGGCCGCAAAACTTGACGTTATGGAAACATTCCATGAGCATGGGAACACATGCTTGTGCTTTTAGTCTTTTTTTCTTTCATGCTATAATGCCGAAACTTGACTACGCCAGCCAGGAAAAGCAATGCAAAACTTTCCAGTAAATTCTTTTTTTTTTTTAATACATCATTTGCCGTGAAACCTGCACTGCAGAGGCAAAAACAACGCAAACTCAATTCAACCGAGCTGTTGTCTCTCCTCACGTATCAAAGTTCTGAAATCACGCGCATTCTTGCAATTCTCATGATTTTGTGACCTTGCGGGACCTCTTGCTTTTAATACTTACGTTGCCATTTTAAATAATTGCTCTCACAGGTATAATGTGTCAATCACATTCCACGCTGGTAACACAAGTCATAAAACCACTTCGTGAAAATGGATGGATGGATGGATGGATGATTTTCCCCTTTGTAGAGGCAGTAGAAACCTATGTGGAAGCACAAAAGGTGAGTTTTGTAAGATATATCCGCTTAAAAACATGAAAATTTTGGTTTGAACTGTCTATTAATGTTTTGTTAAATATCAGAGGCAAACAGAGGTTCAGACATTTAATTCTCACATTTCTCTGAAACGTTTATTACCAACAAGTCGGGGGAGGGGACAGAAGGGACTAATGCTGTCACACTGCACAGACTTCAACAATTCCTGACCAAAAATTAAAACCTCCAGTGCATAGCACACGGTCCACATCAGGGATTTGGTTTTATTCAAACGGAGGGAAATAATAACCCAAATGTTACGTATTACAGGCATGGCGACGGAAAACTCATTTGACACATTAAAATCTGTGATTGTCGAGATCACTTTTTAAAGTGAGTTCAGATCCCTTCATCTAGCGCCCCCTGCTGTTGACTTAAAGGTCTGAAATTATCAGAAAATAAAATTTTAAAAGTCTTAATTTTATTTTTGGTTTCAAAGGGAAAATTTTTTTTTAGAGGAAGTCATCAGTAAACATTTTCTATCATTTGTGCTTTCTACAGCCTGATAAAGTATATTGTAATAAACTTGTATTACACTGCCTCCAAACAACGCGCAGAAGAGCCAGCCATAACGACGCAGATCCTTCCAGAAGAGCCAACGTTGCTGCAGGATGGTCTACCACTATCTCACGCTGACTTGTGTGGGTTTTTTATTTATCAAATTTTAATTGATAATTATTCTGTGCAGAATTAAGTTTGCGGGCTGCATGGTGGCGCAGTAGTTAGCACTGCTGCCTCGCAGCAAGAAGGTTGCAGGTTCGAAACTCGGCTGTGGCCTTTCTGCGTGGAGTTGCATGTTCTCCCCATGCATGCGTGGGTTTCCTCCGGGTACAGATCACAACATGCCCTACAAGTCAAAATTTGTACGTCACTTTGGATAAAAGCGTCTGCCAAATAAGTAAAAGTAAACTAAGTAAAGCTGAATTACCTAAATCTTGTTGCCTTCATTTACTTTAAACACAAAGTGTTTAATTCTTTGCAGCTAAGTGCAGTGGAACCAGTTGACCTAACTCGGTTTAGTTAATTCAACAGTTCATTTCTACAGTGCAGTTAATTTTTGTCTCCTCCTTGAACCGTCACCTTATCGTGGTGGAGGAGTTTGAGTGCCCTAATGATCCTAGGAGCTATGTTGTCTGGGGCACTTAGTGCCCCTGGTAGGGTCTCCCATGACAAATTGGTCTTAGGTGAAGGGTGAGACAAAGAACGGTTCGAAGGATCTTTCATGGCGGTGAAAACGAAGAGTCGGAGTACCCGGCCCGGAGGGTTACCGGGGTCCCACCCTGGAGCCAGGCCTGGGGTTGGGGCCCGTGAGCGAGCGCCTGGTGGCCGGGCTTTCGCCCATGGGGCCCGGCCGGGCCCAGCCCGAACCGGATACATGGGCTCGTCCAACTGTGGACCCACCACCCGCAGGAGGAACATGAAGGGTCCGGTGCAATGCGAATCGGGTGGCAGACCAAGGCGGGAGCCTTGGCGGTCCAATCCCCGGACAAGGAAACTAGTTTTTGGGACATGGAACGTCACCTCGCTGGCGGGGAAGGAGCCGGAGCTTGTGGCAGAGGTTGAGCGGTACCGGCTAGATATAGTCGGACTCACCTCGACACATTGCATTGGCTCTGGAACCCGAGACCTGGAGAGGGGTTGGACACTCTACTTTGCTGGAGTTGCTCCGGGTGAGAGGCGGAGGGCTGGGGTTGGCTTTTTGTTAGCCCCGAGACTCTCTGCCTGTGTGTTGGGGTTTACCCCGGGGGACAAGAGGGTAGCTTCCTTGCGCCTTCGGGTCGGGGAACGGGTCCTGACTGTTGTTTGTGCTTATGGGCCAAATATCAGTTCAGAGTACCCACCCTTTTTGGAGTCCCTGGGACGAGTGCTAGATAGTGCTCCATCAGGGGACTCCATTGTCCTGCTGGGGGACTTCAATGCTCACGTGGGCAATGACAGCTTGACCTGGAGGGGTGTGATTGGGAGGAACGGCCCACCTGATCAGAACTCGAGCGGTGTTTTGTTATTGGACTTCTGTGCAAGCCGCAGTTTGGCCATAACGAACACCATGTTCGAACATAAGGATGCCCACCGGTACACTTGGTACCAGGGCAGCCTAGGTCACAGGTCGATGATAGATTTTGTAGTCGTATCATCTGACCTGCGACCGTATGTTTTGGACACCCGAGTGAAGAGAGGGGCGGAGCTGTCAACTGATCACCACCTGGTGGTGAGTTGGATCAGATGGCAAGGGAACATGCCGCGTAGACCTGGCAGACCCAAACGCATAGTGAGGGTCTGCTGGGAACGCCTGGCAGAAGAACCTGTCAAGACGGTCTTCAACTCCCACCTCCGGCAGAGCTTTGACCACGTCCCGAGAGCAGTGGGGGACATTGAGTCCGAGTGGGCCTTGTTCCACTCTGCGATTGTCGAGGCGGCTGTTGCTAGCTGTGGCCGTAAGGTGGCCGGTGCCAGTCGTGGTGGCAACCCCCGTACCCGCTGGTGGACACCAGAGGTTCGGGGAGCCGTCAGGCTGAAGAAGGAGGCCTACAGGGCGTGGCTGGTCTGTGGGTCTCCGGAGGCAGCAGACAGGTACCGGATAGCCAAGCGGGGTGCAGCAGTGGCAGTTGCCGAGGCAAAATCTCGGGCGTGGGAGGAGTTTGGTGAGGCCATGGAGAAAGACTATCGATCGGCTCCAAAGAGGTTCTGGCAAACTGTCCGGCGCCTCGGGAGAGGAAGGCAGCAACTCGCTCACACTGTTTACAGTGGGGATGGGGAGCTGCTGACGTCAACTGAGGCTATAGTCGGACGGTGGAAGGAATACTTTGAGGAGCTCCTCAATCCCACCAATGCGCATTCCGAGGAGGAACCAGAGCTGGGAGGCCTGGGGATAGACTGTCCAATCTCGGGGGCAGAAGTTGCGGAGGTAGTCAAACAACTACACAGCGGCGGAGCCCCGGGGGCGGATGAGGTTCGTCCTGGGTATCTCAAGGCTATGGATGTTGTAGGACTGTCATGGTTGACATGTCTCTACAACATTGCGTGGTCATCGGGGGCAGTTCCTAGGGAGTGGCAGACCGGGGTGGTGGTCCCCATCTTTAAGAAGGGTGACCTGAGGGTGTGTTCCAACTATAGGGGGATCACACTCCTCAGCCTCCCTGGAAAGGTCTACTCCAAGGTACTGGAGAAGAGGGTCCGATCGATAGTTGAATCTCAGATAGAGGAGGAGCAATGTGGTTTTCGTCCTGGCCGTGGAACTGTGGACCAGCTCTATACCCTTGCAAGGGTGATGGAGGGGGCATGGGAGTTTGCCCAACCAATCCACATGTGCTTTGTGGATTTGGAGAAGGCTTATGACCGTGTCCCCAGGGGCACCCTGTGGGGGACGCTCCAGGAGTATGGGGTGGGTGGCTTTCTGTTAAGGGCCATTCAGTCCCTTTACCAGAGGAGCGTGAGTTTGGTCCGCATAGCCGGTAGTAAGTCGGACCTGTTCCCAGTGAGGGTTGGACTCCGCCAGGGCTGCCCTTTGTCACCGGTTCTGTTCATCACTTTTATGGACAGAATTTCTAGAAGCAGCCGTGGTGTGGAGTGTGTCGAGTTTGGTGGCAGGAGAATCTCGTCTCTGCTTTTTGCGGATGATGTGGTCCTCCTAGCTTCATCCAGCTCTGACCTTCAGCTCTTGCTGGGTAGGTTCGCGGCCGAATGTGAAGCGGCTGGGATGAGGATCAGCACCTCCAAATCTGAGACCATGGTTCTCGACCGGAAAAGGGTGGCTTGCCACCTCCGGGTCGGGGGAGAGGTCCTACCTCAAGTGGAGGAGTTTAAGTATCTCGGGGTCTTGTTCACGAGTGAGGGTAGGAGGGATCGGGAGATCGACAGGCGGATTGGTTCGGCGTCTGCAGTGATGCGGACGCTGAGCCGATCTGTCGTGGGGAAGAGGGAGCTGAGCCAGAAAGCCAGGCCCTCGATTTACCGGTCGATCTACGTCCCAATCCTCACCTATGGTCATGAGCTTTGGGTAATGACCGAAAGAACGAGATCGCGGATACAAGCGGCCGAAATGAGTTTCCTCCGTAGGGTGGCCGGGCTCAGCCTTAGAGATAGGGTGAGGAGCTCGGACATTCGGGAGGGACTCGGAGTAGAACCGCTGCTCCTCCGGATCGAAAGGAGCCAGTTGAGGTGGTTTGGGCATCTGGTCAGGATGCCTCCTGGACGCCTCCCTGGGGAGGTGTTTCGGGCATGTCCTGCCGGCAGAAGGCCCCCGGGTCGACCCAGGACACGTTGGAGAAGTTACATCTCCAATCTGGTCCGGGAACGCCTTGGGGTCCTGCCGGAGGAGCTGGTGGACAAGGCCGGGGAGAGGACGGCCTGGAGCTCCCTAGTTGGGATGCTGCCCCCGCGACCCGGACCCGGATAAGCGGAGGAAGACGAGACGAGACGAGTTAATTTTTGTAAAATTTCCAAAGATTTTTTCAAATTCAGCAGAACAAATTCTTACACGATTCGACTGCGTTCCTGGTTCCTCTCACCAGCCTCAACATGCACAAATACAGAAACAGAATATTTTAAAAGTCAACAAATCATGTTCGATATGTTTAGCTGAAAGGGGCAAAAACCTGCTTATTTATTTATTTAGGGGCAAAAACCTGCTTATTTATTTATTTAAAGTAAATCTGAAGATAAATCAGCGGTTGTTTTAAGGCAAGTTTAAGTGGCAGTCAGTGCAACCTCTTTGTCATTCCTCTCACGACTTTCTTATATATATGAAAGATTTATAAGAAAAAGTGACGATTATTATTTTCAGTAATGTGCTGTTCGGAGTCGTCGCTGATTTCTTTACTTTAGCAAGATGTTTTTCTTGTGCTCTGAAGTTTGGTTAGACTTTGTTTTTTAATCTAAAGAAACCAGAGATGACTCGGGGTTTTCGCACTCTACCGGATGTTTCCATGTTGGGTTTGCTGTGTGCGTTTGAATCAAGTCCAGCGGTGCTCAAACCTGCTCCCCTCACAGTCTTTACTGGTCTGCTCTTGATCTTCTCTGTCCACCAGCGCAGTATCAGGATGAACCTCCTCTTCGTCGAGGGTGACGACCACGGGAGGTTTTCTCCTCCTCCTCCCTCCTCCTGATCCTTCAACACCTCCTCCTCCATGCTCGGCCTCCTCCTCGTCCTCATCAGCCTCCGTGTCCTGGCTGGCCGAGTCGGTGCAGGTGGAGGACAAGGACGACAGCTTGTGTCGGAGCTCGGCCTGGGTGGGGACCTGGAGGCTGATCTCGGTCGTGAAGGACTCAACATCTGGACCAGATTGGGGGGGGGGGGGGGGGGGGGGATTCATAAATAAACAATGATGTATCACTATGCAACCAGAACATTCCTGTTATTTGTTACTGCACCTGCATCAGGTGATGCAGCGCTGTTGTCCTCTCCCCCGGAGTGCAGGAAGACATCCAGAGCCTCGTGGTCAGACATGTCCATCAGGTCCATCTGCTCCAGCATGTCCACGTTCACCTCCATGGAGGACATGCTGCCTATTGGTTCTGAACACGACACATTTTAGTTAAACATCGAAGCGTTTTGGAGCAAAGCAGCAAGGAGCTGAGTCCAGGACATCATCTCTTCGTTCTCCAGAGACAAAGAGTACGTGTGTGTGTGTGTGTGTGTGTGTGTGTGTGTGTGTGTGTGTGTGTGTGTGTGTGTGATAACACATCTGGAGTCAGGTAGAAACAATGATGGGTATAAGAAGTGACTCTGATCATTAAGGATAAATATTTCTATTCAGTAACACTTTAAAATAAAGGTCCTTTTATTAATGTGATTTAGTGCATTATTATGCATTATAAACTACTAAAAGAATTAACACCTACTCAAAATTAATGTTAATAACCTTAAGAACACTTAATATTTAACAATATTGAGAACGTTGTTAAAGGGATCCTTTATTAATGCTTAATAATGCACTAAGTAATACTAATAAAGGGACCTTTATTGTGAAGGTCCATTTACAGGCAGCGTGTTTATAAAATAAAAGCCCAAACAGGAAATGTTAGAAAACTGGCAGATGTCATACAGCACTGTGCAAAAGTTTTGAATCGTCCGCTCTAGCTTCACATTTTATTTTGTGATTTTTAGGTATTTTCTTCAGAATTCTTAAGAGATTTAAGTTTAAAAAAGGTCAACATATTTATTTATCACTAATACAACCCAGTGTTTCTATAAAAAGGACGTTAAAATATGTCACTGGAGGAAATCAGAAAAGCAAACCAAACAAATGTTTGGGTCTCAACAGGTTTAAAGGTGTGAAATGTTGAAAAAAAAATTATGATTATTTCTGATTATAATTGAGTTTTTCATGCAGGATGAACATGAAACTAGTCTCCTACACCTTTCTCCTGCATTAGCGTCTGATAGAAAATAGACTGTGAAAGTCTAGGACCGGGGTATTCAATTCCAGTCTTGGAGGGCCGGTATCCAGCATGTTTCAGTGGTTCCTCTGCTCCAACACACTTGATTCAGTGCCTGTGCAGCAGCTCATCAGAACCCTGTTAATCACCTACTGACTGAAATCAGGTGAGTTACAACTAAAACGTGCTGGAATTGAATACTCCTGCTCCAGGATTTGAAAAACCTGACAGATCTACGTCACACCGTCACTTAACATTCATGGACTCACCCATCTTGGCTCCTGACGGGGAAGGCTGTTGTTGGATTAGCATCCAGGAAACCGCAGAGAACGTCTCAGCTAGTAGAAGCTAACTGTTAGCATTAGCATCTCCACCAACTCCTTCAGGCTCGTGTTATTTGTGGAGATAAAACATCAACGTTGCAAGTCATGAGCTACGTTTACATGGGCACAAATAATTGGAATGAATGCCCTATCCGATCAAAAATTCTTTGTGTATTTCTGATCCGATGCGGCCCGATCGGAATGAAATTACATTCCGAATGAGACGGGTGGTTTTGTTCTATCATCAGTTCAATTGATGTCCATGTACACCCTAATTCGGATTCTTGGAGTAAAATAGTGCCCACTGCACATGTGTGCAACTTCGGCGTGACGTCTTTCAGTCTTTGCAGCCGCTCGGGACAAGTCCAAAACATGGCGGGAGGTAAATAGAAGTTATCCTGCTCTCCTCTCCTGTGGTGGAGGAGCAGTAGCGTTATGTACCGCTGAGCCTGTAGTTAAAGCTAAAGCATACAGGTAAAAATATGAAGAAGGTCCAGAACGGGGGAAAACAACATAAGTTAACGGAAAAAGCAGGAGAATAAGAAAATAAAATGGAAGGGGAATGGCAACTCAGCGCATGCTCAGCCTAATTAATCTGACCGAGTGCTTGGTGCATGTATACTCACGGCTGTCGTCAGCTCATCAGAGGAGAGGTGTCTAAATAAATATCAGAAAATAAGAGTCAAAATCCTGCCGTCTGAAACTCAGCTGTGATGTGGGTCATTTCTACTTCCTGTAACGGGTGCACCAGGGATTTACTTCCCCATAGCACGAATCACAAGGCTTTCCTTCCTACTGGAGACCACCGCAAATGTGTTAAACGAGTGTTCCACACCTTTAAAAGGTACAAGAACGAGGCTCATCTGAAGCAAAGTTAGAAAACAAAAAGGAACATTTCAAAACTTTGCACAGTGCTTGAACTCACTTGTACTGTTCAGTCTTCCGCTAGCATGGCTCACTTTATGACCATAATACCTCAATGCCATTAAGGCCAAGGGCTTAAAAATGACATGAAAATTGGAACAATTAAAAATATTTTACTCAAAACTTGGAATCTGGATGAATTAAGTATGAATTTGAACCAGTATTTTAACCGTAGAACCCCATACAATTTGAACTGAGCACTGCTCAGTTTGACATCTGCTTACGTACAGATGTGAATCGTGGAGTGTGCATTTGAGGATGTGCTTAAATCGATGCAGGGTTGGCAACATTTCTTATGAACAAATAAGTCCTAAACAGCATAACGTGAAAACAATAATTGGAAAATGTGGTGTTTTAGCTCTATTAGCCGGCTAACGAGAGTCATCCAGCCGTAAACAAAGAAGCAGGAAGAGGGGCTTAAAGTGCAGTACAGTTATCTGCCTGTAGATGGTGCCCTCTAAGGAAAAAAACCCAGATTCCTGCTTTGAAGAGACAAACTAGGATTAAATATTCCTGGATTCACCACCTTGCAGGACTGTGGTTTGTTACGATGTGCTGCATGCAACAGAGACAGCCGGTCAGGACAGGGTGCGGGGGGGGGGGGGGGGGGGGTTACATGAGGAAGAAGCAATGGGATTGGCTGTGATAGAAGACGCCATTTGCTGCCATACCTCAAGGAAACGAGGAGAGTAGAATAGGGCAGCGTGGAAGGAGAGCGGATTAAAGAGTGGAGAAAGGGAGAGAGAGAGAGAGGGGGAATGTTATCCGTGATGTAGCTCTCTACACTCTGACATCATATAAAACAGACTTGTCACATGATTCTTCACACAAGAAAGAAAACAAAAACATGCAGATTTTGGTCTCTCACTACTTATTTTTCAGGCGTCATCGATGCATCTAACAGTTACTTAGCCTCCGAAACACAGAGCGGACATCCCAGGTCCCAGCCCCGCGTCCTCTCCGGATACAAAACAGCAGCACTTTGCTTGTGAAAATCTAAGGAAGCTCTGCTGTGAAAACATCTTCTCCATGTGTCATGTTCCTCTGTTAGCCTCACTGTGACCTTGTCTAAAAGGTTTCCCTGCTGGGAGGGGCCGGCACTGTGCGTGTGTGTGTGTGTGTGTGTGTGTGTGTGTGTGTGTGTGTGTGTGTGTGTGTGTGTGTGTGTGTGTGTGTGTGTGTGTGTGTGTGTGTGTGTGTGTGTGTGTGTGTGTGACGAGCTTTTGATGGCTCCCTCTTTATGATCCTCTCCATTATTCCTCTATAGCACAGCACAGCCATGCTGTGAGCTTTTTACAGCCTCTACATAATCTCAATTTTCTTGTTTTATCATAACAACTAATTAATAAAAAGCAAAGTTTGATTGGAGATACAGACATAATCTCTGTGGTAGGTCCTCCTTCAGCCTTCCTTAAATCCCTCATCCTCACCGCTCCACAGTCATCTCTCACCAACCAGTTCCAGGGGATTAAGAGGAGGTTAGAGGAAGAAAAAAATGTTTTTTTTTTTATAGTTCCACATTTCAACACATGCTTTGGATGTGTTAGCAGATATTGGGCTAAACCCCAGCAGGGCTGGAGGAGTTAGTTTATACAGTAAGACGCCGACTTGTAAGGGAAGCTTAAAATCCACTACGGCTCAATCTGGGCATGTGAAACTGAAGTGTGAAGGTTTTAGTTGACATACTGAGACTTAAGCTAATTCAGTTGGCTTTGCATTTACGCTTGAATAAGACACACACGCACGCACGCACAACTGAAGATGAACCTGGACAAGCTCTTGTTTATTGGGAAAACTTAAGGAAGCTTTTAGATTTGTCTGCTGTCTTTGATACGACCGATAACGATTTCGGTTTCATGCTATTGATTTGGTGGCGTTTACTTCTTTTCTTTCGAAGAGAACCTTTTTCGTTGAGACAGATAATGGGACCTCCACACAGGCACCTCTGACATGCGGGGTGCCTCATGGCTTTGTTCTTGGTTCTGTTTTGTTTTCTTCACATACACTCAGCTCACACCTAGCTCACACCTAGATTCAGTTGTATATTTTAATCACTACTATAGAAAATAATTTTTTTTCCTATCCACTAAAACTTAAAGAATTAGCAAATATTACAGTTTTAGGCCTAACAGTGACCTCCGCAGGTTGAATTACGATCTGTCACCCTGACCACAGTGGCGTGGAACGGTAACGGAACGTCGTTGCTTCAAAGAGAATCTATTATAGTCTATGGGAATGATCTAAACCGGTGGTGGTGCAGAACTTTTCAGGTGTGTCCCAGAAGCAGCTCGCCGCTCCGCTACGAGTCACTCATGTCAGTTTCCGCAGTTAATTTAGGGCTAGACAGGAAATCACACAATGTTTCAGTGTAAAACGTGAAGTAATTTTCAAAATAAAGATTGTCAGGAAAATTATTCAGTCAGGAAAAGCCAATCTCTTCCACGTCAAAGGGAAAATTAGTATTCATGGCCCCGCCCACCTTCACTTGCTACCAGGGAAGGCTGTTTTGATTTAGCATCCAGGAGAGAGCAGAGCCTGGCCGGGTCTCAATACTTAAGGATGCTAGTACGTTCTTGTGTACTAGACAAGTACGTTCTTGGAAAAGACACCAGAAAGTCTGTTCTACAGAGTACGGGAGGGCGAGGACGGCATTTGGAATAGAACAAACTAGGATTAAATACTCTGTTGTGTCCTGGCAACAAGCGCTGCTTTTTGCTACAGTTAAAAAAATGACCCGACACAAAAATAGGAGTCTAGTTTGTACATTAAATAAGAAAATAACAAAAAATTGTATTATATTTTGCCCACTTTTGATCAAAACTATTAAAATACTAGCATTTCCCGCTCTTTAATAAATGAAATAAGTATATTTGATAGCGGGTTAGCTAATTAGCATTTTGAAGGATCGTGAGGAGTAAAACCAAAACACACACAGCAAAATTTACAGTTTACACAAAATTAGTTACAACAGATAACTTTATATTATTTTATTCATATTTCTAATATAAAATATTACAGTTATTAGCTTCCTCCTCTGAAGTCCGGAGTTTAACGGTTTGCGACGCAATGCATTATGGGAAACTTTGCTGTCCGAAGTCCACAGAAGGATGCTTTGATGCATCCTCGATACTGTGGGCGGAGCAAGAACACAGCTGGGAACTTTGAGCGAACTTGCCGTTATGCATACTTAGGAATGGAACAGTCCTTGGGCCATCAGTGACGTTTCACAAGGACGTGAGCGCACAAGTTCGGACAAGTATGCATATTGAGAAATGGCCTCTGTCTCCGCTAGCAGAAGCTAACTATTAGCAACTCCACGAATGGTGGAACACAGTCCGACATGTGTTATATGTTGGGTTGGGTGCAGAAACCTGGTACAAGATAATCTACCGTTTTTTATATCCAACTCCCTTTCCAGTCTAGTCAGTCCAAGTTAGCTCTTGGTTAGCTTGTAACTAAGCTTCTAGAAGCTGATAAGGATCTAGTCGTCCTTCTCACCTCTTCTCTCGGCGATCTGCAGGTACCCAGTGGTCAGATATTGCTCCATGTCTTGTTGAAAGGCCTCCTCGAAGAACTTCTGCCTGTCTTTCAGCTTCACCTGGGGGGGTGGGACCCCTGCTTGTTCGGCGCCAGGGGCTTTCTGCGAGTGCTCCGCATCCAACTCCGCTAAAAACACAACGGGAGAACGTTTTCAAACGGAGAATAAATCAATTTTTCCAGCTAGAACTCACTATGTGAGAGAAATATGAATAATCTCACACAGTGCTGCCGTTCTCTGAGCCAAACCGACTTTCGGGCTGGGAAAACTTGCATAAAGTTTTATCTTTGACTGAAAGTCACCTGCATGCTGTCCTAATTTACAAAAAGTAGCTAAAATGGGAAAATCACACAGAAAAAAAGCTTAATGCTCGTCTGGATGCAGAACGGAGGATGCTCTGCTCATCCCTGACGGGCTGAAATCGATCTTCGCTGGAGCGGAACGATGTGGAGCTTTGAAGCATTCAACATTTTACTTTGTAACTCAATACTCCGTCTCCTGTGGGCTGCACAGGAGGGAACTCATTCAGTGATGTCTCGGGCTGCTAAGCAGTCGGTGCCACAAACACACCAAGCATCCATCTCCTGCTGGCTGTCTCCTCTGAGGTGCTGCAGCACCAAAACCCATGCTGGGGATAAAAGTCTGTCTCTGTTGTCGAGGAGGACCATCGACTGCTGAGTCAGTTTAATTCACCCTGACATAAATTAGCTTTTAGATGAAGAGGGTCCAATTCATCCCTGGAGAGGATTCCCCCTTTCCGCTCATTTTTCTCAGCTTTGCAAACAAAAGCATCTTCTGACTTTTAGATAGAAGCACGCGGTTACGGTGGGGGTCAAACATACATGAGGTTGCACTTGTCTGCAGGACATAAACGTGAGTCACTAATGTCTTCTGACGTGGTGGAAGCGTGTGCGTGAGTGGGCACTGCTGCAGCCTGCAGACATGGATGGGCTGTCTCTTCAGTTTTCTCATCTTTCTTTGATAGAGAAGCATTATATAAGACCACCCACTGAGAGGCAGGCCAATGTGCAGAAGAAATAAATAAAAAAAATTGGATGCAGCGAGATCCGACTCTTGTTTAATGTTTAAAGGTCTCGCTCACCGAGAAGCCGATTTTTACTTGTTCTTTGTGGAAAAACGATTGATTACTCTGAGTTTCACATGCAGGCAGAACCATCTGCATTAGCCGCCAAAGGAAAATCTGTGGTAAAGAAAAGCTAGATCCTTCTACGTCACAGGGAGAACTAGTATTCATGGCCTCGCCCACCTCGGTTTGCGACCGCAGAAAGCGGTTTTTTCAATTTAGCGACCTAGAGAGAGCTAGATGAAGCTAACACGTTAGCATTAGCAACTCCACAACACTATTGCGTCATTTGTGGAGATAAATCATCGTTGCTTTTTCCTACTAAAGACAGACGAGGGAACGAAGGCAGCAGAAGAGTCACTTTGCTGTTAGCCAATCAGAGGCAAGATTTTTGCATAATATGAATATTAATGAGCAAGACTCCAAACGTGCTGTCCTTCTTACTTCTTAGTGACACTTGAATGTTTCTGAATGCACCTGACTAAAGGGGTCCACATTTTGGGGGGAACAACAGACGTTTTTTTCCCCACCAAGTTGTTCAACTGTTTCCCACATAAACACAGCTCTATATTCTACACGTGAGCTATTCTGCCGACCTCCCACCGAGACACGGAGAATTGAATGCAGCCAAGAGTCCTGATAAAACATAGGTTGTGGCAGCAGATGGACACACACACACAACAAAGGATAATGAGATCCCACCAGAGCTCACACAAGCCAAGGCCCTCAGAGACCCAGAGAAGAATAGCACTCTTTCTCTCCATCATCCTTTACCCTGTGTTCAATTCATCTGATGTTTCATATTTGGCCCTCATCTTTTCCCCGTGACGGTCTTTTCTTCACCACCGGCTGCTGTGACCGTGTGTGTGCGTGTGCAAGAGTGAGTGAGAGAGTGAGAGAGTGAGAGTGAGAGTGAGAGTGAGAGTGAGAGTGAGAGTGAGAGTGAGAGTGAGAGTGAGGAGAGAGAGAGAGAAGAGAGAGAGAGAGTGAGTGAGAGAGAGAGAGAGAGAGAGAGAGAGAGAGAGAGAGAGAGAGAGAGAGAGAGAGAGAGAGAGAGAGAGAGGAGGAGAGAGAGAGAGAGAGAGAGGAGAGAGAGAGAGAGAGAGAGAGGAGAGCGAGAGAGAGAGAGAGAGAGAGAGAGAGAGAGAGAGAGAGAGAGAGAAGGAGCAGAGAGAGAGAGAGAGAGAGAGAGAGAGAGAGAGAGAGAGAGAGAGAGAGAGAGAGAGAGAGAGAGAGAGAGAGAGAGAGAGGAGAGAGAGAGAGAGAGAGAGAGAGAGAGAGAGAGAGAGAGAGCTTTATTAGATCAGATGCCCGGGGGAAGCTCTGTCAGGAAAGCCAAGTGTCGGGTGTGTGTTGAGGGAAGGAGGAGAGGAAGTAACAGAGGAAGATGGCAATATGGTCACTTGTAACAGGGTTTATGCCACGGACCCCGTTTTGATAGCATGACCAGCCACCCCCATGCTTACTTATGGGAAGCATTGGGTCTGGGAACTCTTCTAGTCAAATAACCCCACCCCCCTGAGAATTCTAACCGAGCCGATCAGAGCATTTTTGACTATAATAAAAAAAACTACAGCGTCGCGGATGTCACACAACTGCAACGCTTAGTTTGTCATAAACAACAAAGGCTGAAGCAGAGTCGTTCCTTCTTTGTTCTAAATGACTTGGACATGTCTAAGTGAAGTTCCAATGCAATGAGAAAAACAAACAAACAAATGTATATTCTGCCTTTTAGCCCTAACATCATGGTTACACATACATAAAAGTATTACGGTATTATTATTATCATCATCATATATTTCTTGTATACATTTTATTTGAATTCTACATGAAGAAGCAAACAACAAAAGCTTTACTATTTCACAGTTCCTCCCAAGTTACCACAACATAACTCTGTAGCGGCTCTGATGATTTTAATAGTATAGATAGGCCCACAATAATAATAAACATGCAGGTTTAAGCAGTTTTTCAGTTCTCATCGAATGTTTTCCACAACAGAATGACAGTTAAAGTACCAGTAATATTTTTAGATCAGCATCTTATAGAAAAATATTCATACTTTTTAGCTTTTTTTTTTCATAATTCAGAAATAAAACATTTTTTTAAACATGACAACAAATCTCTAATTTTAGGTGAGAGAATAAACATCAGATTCTAATCTCTAAAAATTCAGATCTAATCTAATAAGAGAGTTTCTCAGAGTTACTTTTTGCCTGAAATTTCTGAGAAGAAGTGATGAAAGCTTCCATTTATTCTCATTATTTCATCACTGTGCTTTAAGGGGCTCAGCGTGTACGTAGGTATCTGAAACTGCAGCACCTTGTCTGTGTTAGAGCCTCCATTGTGTTTATCATGGACCTGTCTAATTACTGGAAAACCTGCTTTTGACCTCTTCATTTCAGACGCCGTGCTGAGACATGAAACAGGACTCAGAAACAACAAATACTCTATCAGAGTATCTCTGAACACGTTTAATTCACGAGTTTAAAGCATTTTCTCCTCCATGCTCACTCACGCTTGTTCTGGTGGTTCGGATGCACTCCACACATGCGATAAAGTCCCGCCTCCATTTGATTGACAGCAACAGGCAAATTTCTCCACCGTTTCTTTTGTAAGATTGAAACTCGAAATGGGAACCTGTCAATAATGCGGGACATGAGTCTCAATTGACGGGACACGTTAAAAGTAATGAAATGCGGGACATCTGGTCACCCTAGCGCCATTGCCAGACGCCATTTTTACTACAGCTAAAAAACTACAATGTTGCACGGTACAGTCGGCATTTCCGCCTTTTTTCTGATTGGTTATTTTTGAGCTGGCTAGTCCCGCCCCTAACCACCACCAACCCCCAGGCCAGGCTACCGTTTTGATGCTTCCTGACTTTTCAGCCGGCTGAATCACTTCCGTTTTTAAAGCGATTGCTGCAGGACCTGCCAAGGATGACAGACAATGGGATTTATGATGCCACATTCAAATAAAAACAAAGGTTTTAAATAGTATGTGTCCATCAACATTCATTGTGAAGGTGAGGTAACAAGCTTCTGCTTTGGGTTGCCAAATGATGATACATGCTAGCTCTTTACTAGCCAAAGTTAGCACAGTGTTGATCGCGTGGGGAGTTACTGACAAACTCTGGACGCTAACGATTTTGAAAAAGAAAGTTAAAAACGGCCGTAAGTTTCACTTTGTAAACAGAACCAGCTGAGAAGATAATCTGGAGCAATGCGTGTTCCTGGAGCTTTTAGGATCTTTTAGGAGACTCCAGCAACTCCTCACATGTTTAGGAGCGACTTGTAAAAAAATAAAACGTAATGAACACATCGTCGATCACAGTAAAAAAATCAAGTTATGTCCAAGAGAAACGGAAGTCCACAGCGGCGCAGAGATCACTCCCTTTATACCGGAGTTGTGTAATCCTTTGTAAAAAGGACACGACTGCAACACATTACAGCCACGGTCTGACCACCTAAACGGCCTAAAGCTCCTCCATGTCACCTCAACATAGTAGCAATTGTTTTGTAAGAACGGCTTTTGTTGTTTCTTCAATGCTAGCATTGCTTCCTCACTGTGCTAGTAAACAGCTAGCATGCATCATTCAGCAACTCAAAGCAGAAGCTTGTTCACCTTCAGAGATACAAATGTAGATGGACACATCCAAGTTAAAACCTTGTCATTGTTTGATTGCCATATTTCAGACATACGTATATCAAACATATCAATCGTATTTATTTCAGTATTCCAGAGAAAAATATCGCGATGAGTGTTTGTAGGTCTTTGTCCTCACCTTCATGCAACCACACCCTCCTACACATCATCATGTAGCGACAGGATCTATTTATAGCTCTCGTTCATTTGGCTTACTCGTACACAAATAATTTTGCGTGGAAAATTCAGATATTTCTCACATCTTTACGGTCCTGATGTATCGAGTTGTTTTACAAAAGTCCTGCTGCATACGACTCAGCGAGGCAAGGGTGGGCGCGTCGTAAAAGGAAATCATCTGGAAATGATTCATCAGCCGGAAACGTCACGGGAGATCGCTCT